CTCTGCCTCGGGGCCTGACGAACTCACGACGTTGTCTCTTACGAAGTGCCTTGGTCTCTGCCCTTTCAAACCGTCTCTCCTCCTCCGAGTTAGAAGCAATTTCGTCACCTTCCAACTCCGATATCAATCCCCATCCCGACGGAGATCTGTCCGCTAGTCTGATGAACTTATTCCTCTTCTTAATAGAACATTGGATAGTGTCTATAAGCTCTAAACATTCTGGAAAATCTCTCCTATTACAGTGTCTTTTAGCCGAATCTAGTCTGTCAGAAATATCAGAATTAAACTTGAATTGAATCTCGTTGAATCCCTTTGTGTTTAAAGTTTGGCGTATCAATTTTCCTCACCTTTTTTGAAAAGACTGAGAGACCTTTCCTCGGACTCGTCGACAATGTCTCTCTTCAATAATTTCAGCTTGTTGTCCATGTAGTCCTTAAACAGCTGGAAGGACTCAAAAGGTTCGGAACTGGACTCCTGTCTCGACTCCTGAGAAACGTCCGGAGTAGAAGTTGTAGAATCTTGTTGATCCATGACGGACATAAGGGCAGAAATCAAGGCAAAGCAACTCGCCTGAGTAACGCGTAGACCTCAGTGACGAAACAATATCTTGAACCCACTTTGTAACCTTCTATCACGTGACTAAACAACACAACTTCTCGTGCAACACATGCCTCCACGGTAGTCGGTCTAGACTACCGTATTTACTAGATTAATTTTTATTGTTTCTGGTTACTGGATTGTCTGGTGGAGGCTCTATTACTTGTGTCTGGTTACTGGATTGTCTGGTGAAGACTATTACTTGTGTCTGGTTACTGGATTGTCTGCTGGAGGCTCTATTACTTGTGTCTGATCACTGGATTGTCTGGTGCAGACTATTACTTGTGTTTGGTTACAGGATTGTCTGGTGGAGACTCTATTACTTGTGTCTGGTTACTGGATTGTCTGGTGGAGACTCTATTACTTGTGTCTGATCACTGGATTGTCTGGTCGAGACTCTATTACTTCTGTCTGGTTACTGGATTGTCTGGTGGAGGCTCTATTACTTGTGTCTGCTCTCTGGATTTCTCTGGTGGAGGCTCTATTACTTGTGTCTGGTCACTGCATTGTCTGATGGAGGCTCTTTTACTTGTGTCTGGTCACTGGATTTGTCTGCTGGAGGCTCTATTACTTGTGTTTGGTAACTGGATTGTCTGGTGGAGTCTCTATTACCTGTGTCTGGTCACTGGATTGTCTGGTGGAGGCTCTATTACTTGTGTCTGATCACTGGATTGTCTGGTGGAGACTCTATTACTTGTGTCTGGTTACTGGATTGTCTGGTAAAAACTATTACTTGTGTCTGGTCACTGGATTGTCAGGTGGAGGCTCTATTACTTGTGTCTGGTAACTGGATTGTCTGGTGGAGACTCTATTACTTGTGTCTGGTTACTTGATTGTCTGGTGGAGGCTCTATTACTTGTGTCTGATCACCGGATTGTCTGGTGAAGACTCTATTACTTGTGTCCAGTTACTGGATTGTCTGGTGGAGACTCTATTACTTGTGTCTGGTTACTGGATTGTCTGGTGGAGACTGTTACTTGTGTCTGGTCACTGGATTGTCTGGTGAAGACTCTATTACTTGTGTCTGGTTACTGCATTGTCTGGTGGAGACTCTATTACTTGTGTCTGATCACTGGATTGTCTGGTGGAGGCTCTATTACTTGTGTCCAGTTACAGGATTGTTTGGTGGAGACTCTATTACTTGTGTCTGGTAACTGGATTGTCTGATGGAGACTCTATTACTTGTGTCTGATCACTGGATTTGTCTGGTGGAGGCTCTATTACTTGTGTCTGATCACTGGATTCGTCTGGTGGAGGCTCTATTACTTGTGTCTGATCACTGGATTGTCTGGTGGAGGCTCTATTACTTGTGTCTGGTAACTGGATTGTCTGATGGAGACTCTATTACTTGTGTCTGATCACTGGATTGTCTGGTGGAGGCTCTATTACTTGTGTCTCATCACTGGATTGTCTGGTGGAGACTCTATTACTTGTGTCTGGTTACTGGATTGTCTGGTGGAGGCTCTATTACTTGTGTCTGATCACTGGATTGTCTGGTGGAGGCTCTATTACTTGTGTCTGATCACTCGATTGTCTGGTGAAGACTACTACATGTGTCTGGTCACTGGATTGTCTGGTGAAGACTCTATTACTTGTGTCCATTTACTGGATTGTCTGGTGGAGGCTCTATTACTGGTGTCCAGTTACAGGATTGTCTGGTGGAGACTCTATTACTTGTGTCTGGTTACTGGATTGTCTAGTGGAGACTCTATTACTTGTGTCTGGTCACTGGATTGTCTGGTGGAGACTCTATTACTTGTGTCTGGTCACTGGATTGTCTGGTGGAGACTCTATTACTTGTGTCCAGTCACTGGATTGTCTGGTGGAGACTCTATTACTTGTGTCTGGTCACTGGATTGTCTGGTGGAGACTCTATTACTTGTATATCGTCACTGGATTGTCTGGTGGAGACTCTATTACTTGTGTCTGGTCACTGGATTGCCTGGTGGAGATTCTATTACTTGTGTCTGATCACTGTATTGTCTGGTGGAGACTCTATTACTTCTGTCCAGTTACTGGATTGTTTGGTGGAGGCTCTATTACTTGTGTCTGGTCACTGGATTGTCTGGTGGAGGCTCTATTACTTGTGTCTGGTCACTGGATTGTCTGGTGGAGGCTCTATTACTTGTGTCTGGTCACTGGATTGTCTGGTGGAGGCTCTAGTACTTGTGTCTGGTCACTGTATTGTCTGGTGGAGGCTCTATTACTTGTTTCTGGTCACTGTATTGTCTGGTGGAGGCTCTATCACTTGTGTCTGGGCACTGGATTGTCTAGTGGAGGCTCTATCACTTGTGTCTGGGCACTGGATTGTCTGGTGGAGACTCTATTACTTGTGTCTGGTCACTGTATTGTCTGGTGGAGGCTCTATTATCTGTGTCTGGTAACTGGATTGTCAGGTGGAGGCTGTATTACTTGTGTTTGGTCACTGGAATGTCTGGTGGAGGCTCTTTTACTTGTGTCTGGTCACTGTATTGTCTGGTGGAGGCTCTATTACTTGTGTCTGGTCAGTGTATTGTCTGGTGGAGGCTCTATTACTTGTGTCTGGGCACTGGATTGTCTGGTGAAGGCTCTATTACTTGTGTTTGGTCACTGTATTGTCTAGTGGAGGCTCTATCACTTGTGTCTGGGCACTGGATTGTCTGGTGGAGACTCTATTACTTGTGTCTGGTCACTGTATTGTCTGGTGGAGGCTCTATTATCTGTGTCTGGTAACTGGATTGTCTGGTGGAGGGTCTATTACCTGTGTCTGATCACTGGATTGTCTGGTGTAGACTCTGTTACTTGTGTTTGGTCACTGGATTGTCTGGTGGAGACTCTATTACTTGTGTCTGATCCCTGGATTGTCTGGTGGAGGCTCTATTACTTGTTTCTAGTCACTGTTTTGTCTGGTGGAGTCTCTATCACTTGTGTCTGGGCACTGGATTGTCTAGTGGAGGCTCTATCACTTGTGTCTGGGCACTGGATTGTCTGGTGGAGGCTCTATTACTTGTGTCTGGGCACTTGATTGTCTAGTGGAGACTCTATTACTTGTGTCTGGTCACTGTATTGTCTGGTGGAGGCTCTATTACTTGTGTCTGGTCACTGGATTGTCTGGTGGAGGCTCTATTACTTGTGTCTGGTCACTGGATTGTCTGGTGGAGGCTTATTACTTGTGTCTGGTCACTGGATTGTCTAGTGGAGGCTCTTTTACTTGTGTCTGGTCACTGTATTGTCTGGTGGAGGCTCTATTACTTGTGTCTGGTCTGTGTATTGTCTGGTGGAGGCTCTATTACTTGTGTCTGGTCACTGTATTGTCTGGTGGAGGCTCTATTACTTGTGTCTGGTAACTGTATTGTCTGGTGGAGGCTCTATTACTTGTGTCTGGTCACTGTATTGTCTGGTGGAGGCTCTATTACTTGTGTCTGGTCACTGTATTGTCTGGTGGAGGCTCTATCACTTGTGTCTGGGCACTGGATTGTCTACTGGAGGCTCTATCACTTGTGTCTGGGCACTGGATTGTCTGGTGGAGACTCTATTACTTGTGTCTGGTCACTGTATTGTCTGGTGGAGGCTCTATTACTTGTGTCTGGTCACTGTATTGTCCGGTGGAGGCTCTATTACTTGTGTCTGGTCACTGGAGTGTCTAGTGGAGGCTCTATCATTTGTGTCTGGGCACTGGATTGTCTGGTGGAGGCTCTATTACTTGTGTTTGGTCACTGGATTGTCTAGTGGAGGCTCTATCACTTGTGTCTGGGCACTGGATTGTCTGGTGGAGACTCTATCACTTGGGTCTGGGCACTGGATTGTCTGGTGGAAACTATTACTTACAGACGGTACTCATAGAAACAACAGAGCAATCAAACAAACAAACCTACCTTCCTCTTTAAATGTTTGTGAGCTGATGTGTTTAGCAGTATCCATTTATTTTCATTCTAGTATTATTATGATGTTTCATGTGTTCTGTAGTTGTATGAAATATTACCTGCCGGTATAATTTCACCATTTCATCATTTCATTAATGTCAAACACAATCGGACTGAGTACTTACCATGTGAAAGACATGTTTGTTAACTAACCCAAAGGATGATCAACGAAATGAATCTTTCATGGCGTATTTCCATCCCATTTTGTGTTGAACAAACGTAACAACGGTTACTATAGTAACTAACAATACCTACGAAACATGTCACATTTATACAGTTCTTATTTTATAAAGAAATCTTTTATAATCCACCCACACCCCAACACCCCGACGCCCAACCTTCCCCGTTTAACATTGGCACAACACTCACAGAACCTTGGACCTCATATTTATTTCATTTCAAAAGCCTTATTGCTGCACGTTGATGCAACAATATTACTGTAATTTGTGTCCAATGTACACGATTCTTATTACCTATTCAGAATAATCGCTTATTTTACAGTGATGATTCTTACAACAGTCCAGCTGAAGATGAGGACACTGCTATAGAGAGAAGTTTGATGAACCTCAGAGATATTGAGGTGAGATGTAGGAGAGCAGCTCATAGCTACATCGCAACGAGTAAATACGAGAACAATGGTTTCTTTTTTAGATGTGCTGGAGCAGCAGTGTCTGGTGGGACATCTTTGCTTGCTGTTTTTGCAGGTAATGAAGTAATGGGGCCTGTTGTTGAGACATATGTCAAGGTCCACATTCGACAGTCCATGTGTTTCATTGGAATTGTAATTGGCATCGTCACCTTCCTTGGTATGCTAAAAGGAATAGACAGTGTTATCGGAGCATGGTTCTACGAGAAGGCTCCGAAGTACAACCAAGCTGCGGCCGAGTGGCAAGAAATGGAGCTGCGGATCAAAGCTTTCCTTGCTGCTGCTGTCAAAGGCACAATTACAGTTCAAGACTGCAAACTATTCACAGAAGAGTGCGCAGAGAAACGCAAGAAAATATGTCTTATTGCTCTTCCGGATCAAAAGCCCCTCACACGGTATCAAACTGATTATGAGCTCCTTATCAAACGCATGTAAAACCTCCGGGAATTTCATAACAAAAGGAGACAAAATCGTCTGTTCTCTTGTTAGTGCCTGCACACTCCTCATTTCGAATCATTAATTAAGGCACTTGGCACCAATCATCACTTTGGGTGTGTTGTACATGTGAAACAACATTATGCTATGTCATATTATTCTCTTGTTAAACATTGTTGTTTTCTACCTGCAGTAAAGCATTCACGACATACTGGTATATGCCTCACCTGCTGTTTTGCCTTTGACGCTATGTATTTTGTAATGGAGTGTATTAACTTTGTTCCTCAGAATTCCCCAAAATATATATTTTTTCCATCATGTCGGGTGGTTTCATAAGTTCTTTTCTTATTCTCCATACTGAAAGGCCGCAGGCCATAGTGCATATACTACAAGGTGTAATCAGATAGGATGAGCAATTACGTTCTTACTGATATGACATGACATATTACAAGTTACCTCCTGATTTTATTGATTTATTGGCTGATTCCCTCAGTAAACACACATGTTAACATCTAGATGAACAAAGAACCGTTTTACATTTTTCAAGTCATTATATTTAGTAAAAACTAATTTAAAATGATATCCATCATGTACATACTCTTACAAAGCTTTGTCTTAGTGATATTAAAAACACTTTTGACAGTTTGTACCAATTTTGGATTGTTTGAAAACATAACCTACCTACTACCTGTATCACTGCATTGATGGTACGTTGTTTCAATGTATTTAGCGCTGTTCTTTTTCATCATTTTCAATAAATAATTTGCTTCAGTAATGTTGATGGTATCTTTCATTCTCCCATCAGTACAGCGAGATCTCAGTTCAAGTCAGATGTAGTTTGGCAATTTTCAAATATCTTTACAAATTGTTTTAAATTGAAAGCACAAAATCCTTTCCACAAAAGTCACGCCGAAGACCCGTGTTCGATTCCCCACAAGGGTACAATGTGTCAAGCCCATTTCTGGTGTCCCCCGCCCTGATATTCCTGGAATATTGCTGAAAGTAGCATAAAACCAAACTCACTCACTCACACTTTCCATAAACCGAGTCCCCATTATGGTTTCAACTATCTTATAGCCATGTGTTTATGAATTATTACGAAATAGTCATGATACATGGTGTTCGTGAAAAGGTGGACCTCTTCTGCTCCGCTGTCGGAACCCTTTATAAATCCATGGAACTTCACATCAATTGTTCACCTGAAATGGAATGGGAACACGAAGTATAAGTCAGAAAAGCAAATTGCCTCGAACAACAGTTTTGTCAGTGATGCATCGAATTTGGAATTGTATACAACACTTATAACATGATTAAAAACATGTGGTCGTAAGGCGTTGTCTCAACGTTTGTAGACAAAACTGGTTCGAAAAGTGCTTAAAATGTTCTGAAATGTAGGTGAGCTGAGGTGAAATTGGGTCGTGCTTGAGAATATTTCGCTCATATGACGACGTGCATGCGTGTGTATGTGTATGGGCGGCTGCTTGTACTAGTCCAGACTGAAGCTGGTTTTATAGTGCTAGCCCTCAGATACCATGCCGCAGTGAAGCATGAATACCCCACTCAGACACATTATACTGACTCCGAACCGACCAGTCCTTGTTGTACCCATTAATGCCGAACGCAAGGCAGGGACCAACAAGTACCATATTTTCACGTCTTTTGGTATGACGCGGCCTGGGATCGAACACGCGACCTTCCGCTCGCCGGGCGGACACTCTAACCACTACACCACGTAGGCGGTCTCTGAAATGTAGACACCAAAGGGTTGCCCTGCAGGGATATTCTTCAACATGTGATGAAAGTTGGTACTTGGAAGTCATCCGTCTTACTATGTAGCTTTCCGTTTATTTTATAGTCACTTTGAACCAACTACACATATCTGGGTATGAAGGATAGTGTGCCTTGAGTTTCTAATATAGGTGGATAGGTCCATGGAAATGAAATATCAGTTTGGTCATATCAGATCATCACTTACCAAAATACCAAACTCACTTTTTTAAAACAAAAGCATCAAGAAACAGAAATTTGAAAAATCAAGAGTTTTGCCGTGTTGGACTGACAGATGTTCAGAAAAGTCAAAAGTTTTGACCATATTGAATTTGTTTTGTTTTTTTTTCAGAAACTACAAGCACATGCGCGGGCTGAGAAATAGGAGATAAACGTACAATGTTAGAAAAGTAGATTCTGGGTAGACTGTGCCCAGTAGGACATGGTACGAGAGACGAGTTGAACTGAAAGGAGTAGTAAGTGTTTTTCGGAGTGGTTGCTGACATTGTAACGGGAAAATATCCGTCAAAAGAGAAGAAACATCGATTTGTTCAATCAAGCGACTTAATGCGTTGTAACAGTCTGGTTATAAAACACACACACTCACTCTCACAAACACACACACACACACACACACGTACATACATACTTATGTATGAGGCAGTATGATACGTTCTGAAACTATGTCTTTTCGCATTACCTGTATAAGTGCAAGAGGCAGTGGTGTGCTATATTCAGACTTATACTAGCGACTATACTAGGCAGAAACCAGCTTACTGTTTGATGAGCTGTTGTACTGTTGATTTGTTGCATTTCTTCAACCAATTTATCAGACTCTTTCTGGTTGAAATCCCAAAAATTCATTCACAAGATCACCAAAGGAAAACATCCATGTCAATAACTTTTTCCTCTGAGAGGGCACTCGTGAAGGGCAACCTCGTGGTGAGTGCGGGGCAACGCTAATAGCTCTTCCCCCGTGTGGACCGGGGAAGAATGTGTCCACAGCACCCCACTGCTGGTCGGGGAGGGTATGTAAGTCCCATTTCGTTTAATGTATTTTTCAAAGTAATTTTAAGCGTGGTATAATGTCCTTTTAATTTCTGGCTAATCTGTGCCATAATCACCGGCATCTCAAGGAATGATTTAAATCCAGTTACCCCATGGTCCCTAGCATGGTGATCTACCTCCAGTTGCTGGTGATCTTCAGCCCGTTCTTACATTGTATTGTCTATAATATTTGTTTAATTTAAAGTCACATGCTTGTTTTAATTTTCCATCTGTGATAATCTAGTTACAATACACATGTGCACCATTCTGGCATAATCTTTAGTTGTATGTAAAATATTTATTGTCATTTGACCGGTTTCGATATTTACCAACATAGCAAAGACGTCACTCTGATATAAAAAATCATAGTATTTCTTATATTCACTTATATATTTCCAGTGTATACTTTCACTGATATTTCAGATTATGCATTATTAAGTAGCTACCATACGCAAGAATATTTGTAAAACATATAATTCTTTTATCGGGTATATTGATGCTTGCTTTGCGCAGGGTGCCAAGGTTATGTCTACACTAGTCTCTAACATTTCCATTTAACCTTTCAAGATAACTTTAAGACAAGACATTTGACTATACAAGTGACTTTATTGGACAGCAAATCAGTGAGTGAGAGAGTTTATTTTTACGCCGCTTTTAGCAATGTTCCAGCAATATCACGGCGGGGGACACCAGAAACGGGCTTCACACCTTGTACCCATGTGGGGATTAGAACCCGGGTCTCCGGCATGACGAGCGAACGCTTTAACAACTAGGCCACCCCACCGCCCCAGCAAATCAGCGTACAGTACGTCGTCAAATCGTAATCGTTTTACACAAGGTTGTCATTCATAACATTAAACAAAGTAACAATACATAATCTACATGCACATATAGTTTAATCATCCAAGCATACAAAACATAGCAAGATAATCGTAGGGACTACAACATGAATATCTTAGTCACGAAGATCAATACATTAAACTCACTGCCTGTGGAAACAGATCGGTATAACGACTGCCCAACTTATTAGTGAGTGAGTTTGGTTTTACGCCGCTTTTAGCAATATTCCAGCAATATCACGGAGGGGGACACCAGAAATGGGCTTAACACATTGTACCCATGTGGGGAATCGAACCCGGGTCTTCGGCGTGACGAACGAACGCCTTAACCGCTAGGCTACCCCACCGACCCACCGACCCACCCAACCTATTAAAAACAACACTAATGAACATTCAAAAAAGAATGCCCAGTGATCACAAATAGAAGTCTATCCATTTATTTTCGCATTCTGTACAATATGCAGTGTTACAAATGACTCCGATGAAACAATGAAGGGGATAAGCAAAGACAGGAACAAATAGAAGTCTATCCAATAAGCTGTGTTAAAACAGAATGTTTTGAAAAATGAAGAGCATAAGCCATGACAAGAACAAATAAAAGTCTGTCCATTCATTTTTCGCAATCTGTACAAGTAAGCAGTTACAACTGAATTCGATAAACATGACGGGAATGAGCAAAGACAAGAACGATTAGATGTCAATCCATTTCTTTTTCGCATTCTGTACAAACAAGCAGTGTTACAACTGAATTTGTTGAAAATGAAGGAAATGAGCAAAAACGAAAACTCGAAGTCAGTTCGGTATCCGAGGTCACATGGCCAGGAGTACAATAAATAAGATCAAGCTTGAGCACAGGAACAGGCTGTACAAATGTTTTGCTACCTTAATACAATAATGAAAATACCTTTAACGAGCAGGTTTCTTGTCAAATACATCCCATTTCCATATGGCTACACTTCTGGTTAAATTGCGTTGGGTACCTGGGAATGTATACAATTCTAGTTTAATTATGAACCGGGCAAACTAAGGGGAAATGGTATTCATCTTCAATTGTATTAGGATTGTTTAAAGAAAGAACTCATTTTCAATATTTGCTAAAACCTGTTTGACATCCATGTCATCCTTCATGTACCTGTATCAAAATACGTCTTCTGGATTCACGAATATCTTACAAATGATATTTAACTAAGAAATAAAACAATGTAGTTATTTAGATGGTAATATGACGACTTTCCAACCATCGGGGGAAACACCATATCCAGCATTGTTGAAATGTTTGCATTTTTCATAAAAGTATCTTTCAAACTAAATGTATCTACTCAAATCATCCTTTGTTCGTCATCCAAGGAATGCATTTAAATGACAAAATCCCCTTCTCTTTGCAGTCTGACATTAATCATCAAACCATTTAGAGTGTTCACGTTTAAAAGCCCGTCTACTGTTACAGTCGGTTAGAATCTGGAATATGATTATCTGTGTCATTTATATTGGAATGTACTAATGGTAGAAATTCCTTAACGATATATTCGATAGCACAGAAATGCATGGTGAGCAAGAGTCCGATGACAGACAAATAGAAAATACTATAGTCAAACGTGCTTTGTTCATATCTAATGGTAAACACCAATGTCGGTTGGTTGGTTGTTGTTTTACACCGCACTCAGCAATGTTCCAGCTATATGGAGGCGGTCTGTAATTATAAATAATCGCGTATGGTCCAGTCAACACTGATCAACAACAATGAACATCTATCTACCCAGTTGGGATACGATGACGTGTGTCCTTTAAGTCAGTGATCTGACTTACCCGATACCTTTAGTCGTCTCTGACGCAAGCATAGGACCAATTCTAACCTGGATCTTCATGGGTGAATGTGGGAAAATTTATTTTGGAGTATATATGTCTGTGAAACTAAGACCGGTAACCAAAGGGCGTTGTTAACTTATTTGCTTGGGTGTCTGTCGCAGATCCAGCCACCTGTCTCTTTGTTTGTAACAGCTGCCCATTTATAGCCAGTGTCCCTCTTCAGAGCAGCATGGGTCACCTGTCTTGGCTCACCCTCTCCCCAGTTGGTGTACGACAGAACGGTCGTATCGGTATACTTCCATTCAGCCGACG